TTTCTTTTAATCCGGCGACAGGGTGGATTTGGATTTGTTATGAAAACAAACAGAATTAGCAAGTACCCGCCAAAATAAAAACAGAGGCTGAGAAACTGTACCAAGGTTCAGACGCAGAACTCCCAGGATCCCATAGGCATCCAGCATCTTGGTGTACGATGCTTTTATGGTCTCTTTCTCTGCCGCCGCTGTGGATGACATCAAAATATTTACTTAAAATCTACATGCCATAATACTACATACTATTAAGATGAAATAAATACTTAAATGTGTCATTTTGTTTTGATTCTTACACCTAAGAAAGACAGAGAATCAATGCTAACTAAACATTTAATAGTTTAATTCAGTAACTCAGGGTGTGGACAGTCTTACACAGTACAGCAACAGCTCCAGACTCGAACATCAGACATTCTTCTCGATTTCTGGTCTCCACAATCACACTGTATGGAGGTGGATCCAGCTTGTGATAAATACGATAACCTTTACTGAATGCCATGGCTCGACACAACCTATTTCAGACCTGAATGCAAAAATAAATCATTTAAATGGAAACACACCATATAAAGCAAATGACACAGGGGTTGTGGAGACAATATTCCAACCCTTAAACCACCGGCAATTTCAGATATGACTGAGGTAAAGTTGGTCTTATATTCGCACATTCAGAGTTACTGCTTTAAAATATAATTTCAGAAAATAAGTCTTAGCAAATTCAAAATAGTGATATTATATAAGAGATATAACAGCAAGTGCCTATCAAGGTACAACATTGTTCACATAAATAGTGCTAAAGTTGTTTTGAAGTCATATTACATGCGATATCATACCGAATTTTTAAAGTAACATGGTATACAATATAGAGACCCTGTCATAAGATATCGCTGTTCAAAAATGAACAATGTGCGATTATAAAACTAATTGTACCCCAATCTAGATATGCAGGTGCAGCAAATGTCGCATCGTGCAACCATAAAAACACACAATTTAAAGTGGTTATTAGTACACCCTGTCACACCATTGACATTAGAGAGGAAGGAAATAAAGTGGGAAGCTTACACAATTCCTGCTGTTATAAATTCGTGTTTTTGCTCTAATGGTCATGCAGGATAAAGGAAACACAATGCTGTCGAAAAAACATCAGCTGTGCTGTTATTTCAGCATCACAACAGTGAGGGATGAAAAATCAAGCCAAATCCCATCAAAGCCGAAGCAACGAGCTAAAATGTCCGACTTAACTGAAACGAAACATGCAGAAAAACAGGATGACAGGTGCTCATCACAATCAAAACTGCAACCGAAATCTATAAGGATGTTTAATGCATGCATATACACAGCCTGTCTAACCTTGGGCCACTGTCTCGGAGTGTGGCTGAAGGTTAGCGCACAAGAAAATAGCAATCATCCGTGTGATAACTAGAATGAAGAAGATCGGGCCCGACCGGCCCTTGATCTGTCAAAATCAACAGTTCAAACAGACTGACAGCCCCTAAAAGCCTTTATCACGACCAGCACTGACGGCTAACGTTAGCCGGCTAGCTCTCCATCGCCTTCCTGAACCATATAAACAGACATTTTACTGATCACAGAGCCGCTATGTGTTCATTAGAACAGGAAAAGTGGAGATTTAATGTGTCGGTGTGTGTTGTGGATTTATAATGATGCTTAGTAAAGAGATGGTCTTGTGTACCTGTCAGAGTTGTGCCTGTCTTGCCCCGGTTGGATATCGTATATGGCTAGAAACAAAATGATTAGCGGGGCAGGTAGTTCAAGAACAGAAATACAACAGAAACCTAGAGAGGAAGACAGCAGCACTGTGGTTACGCCCAGAAGCGTTTCCAGGACCTTAAGCTAACCGCTGATTGGCTAGGTGTGTGTCATGTGATGTAGAAAGCAAGCATTATTAAAGGGATAGTTCACCAAAAAAAGTAAAGAAATAAGAATAAATACTTATTTTTAAAATACAAAAATATTGCATCATATATATATATATATATATATATATATATATATATATATATATATATATATATATATATATATATATCATTAAAAAACAAATAGGAATATGTTAAAGTTTTAAATTGAAAATTGTAGTCTATTGTCAGTAAGAAGACAAATAAACTGCCCAGCACATTCAACTTTTCTCACTTGGCCTTTCCGATGGGTCATTTAATCCAGGGGTTCCCAAACTTTTCAGCCTGCAACCCCCAAAATGACATTGCCAGTGACTCGCGACCCCCAATATCCTCTTAGCTGGTTAGAAATACAAAAATCTTGAATGCAATGGCACACACACACACACACACACACACACACACACACACACACACACACACACACACACACACACAGGCATATTCTTCATTAAATTTTTTAATGTATGTTCTATAAAATCAATCTGCTGCATCTGACACTATTGCTGTTTCTTTAATAATATGTAATTACCAAAGGGGTCGTAATCCAGTAGAACTAGTATTTATAAGCTACTATAGCAACTATGTAGCATATAGTAACTATAAACAACTCTTTTTTTTTTCTCTTCAGTAGGTTATGGATAAAAATATGGTAAGCTCGGAGTAGAGCCACTGCTCCTCCACATCAAGGGATGTCAGGCATCTGTTTCAGATGCCTCCTGAACACCAACCCATGGAGGCCTGGGAACGCCTCGGGATCCTTTCTGAAAATCTTGAGGAAATGTCTGGGGAGAGGGAAGTCTGAGGTTATCTCCCACGACCCAGCCCCAGAAATGCAGACAAAAATGAGATGAGATGAGATTTTCTTTTGTGTTCTACAGAAGAGTAAATGGTGAGGACGTTTACATTTGTGGGTGAACTATTCACCCATGACAGTAAGATACAATAATACATTTTATTAAATAAAAATTATTTATATTATAATTATATTACTTTAATATTATTCTAATTTTATATTTTGTAATGCATGTGTCATTATTGTTTATTATGTTTAGTTTAATTGCATTTTTTATATTATCGATATAATGTTGACAGTAAAAGTTAACCCTTTTTCAAAGAAACGGGTGATATTATAAAATGTTTTCAATTAATTTCAATAGTATCTGGAAGCAGCCTTTATGATGCAAGCTGCTACTGCAATGTCAGGCACAATGCACTCAATGGAGCTAGTGATGGGTTAGGGGTGGGGTTAGGTGAGCTCATTAAAAAGCATTGCATGCAGTTTAGATTGCATCTGCACTAGGTCTGCATCCACTCCACACAGTATCTTCTTTTGGAAAAACCTTTTAAATAAACTTAACTGGGGGAAAATCTGGTCATTACAGCAAAAATTCTTTCTCACAAATAAGTAAACAAAAGAAAAGTTGTTTTTTTTAACTGATTCATAGTTTTTTTTTTCCTGTTAAGAAAGTTATTCACAAGTTTAGAGTTGACACTGACTTGAGTTGTTATTTTTGTGTGAATGGTGACGAAACGGTGACACATTTGTTTTGGTCATGTCATTACATTCAGCAGTTACGGATTAATATAGATTTATTTTTGTTGAGGTGAAGATTCTTCAGCAATATATTATATTTGGGTATTTAGACTCAGACCCCACAAAAGAAAATAATGTTTTTTATAAATAAAATTACTTTCTTAAGTAAATATTACATTCACAAATGCAAATTCTCAAATAGTAAACCTGCCTTTGTAGTCTTCATTAACGATATGGAGAATTATATAAAGTTGATTTCAGGATCGGCTAATAAGAAAGCTTTAAAAGTGGTCAAAATATGCTCTGCTTTTAATATCTTCATTTAAGTAATCTTAAATTAGCACGTGTTTTACAAAAAACCTTTAATGCTTTTTTTTCTTTTCTCTTTCTCTCTTTTCTTTATTTCCTTATATCTTATGATGCTATTTTTTATATTCTTTCACATTGTATGTACTTTTTTGTCGATATCACTTGTTGATTGATATTATATTTTAGGTTTTATGTACTGTTATGTTCCTGATTTGAGCAATAATCTAAAAAACAGGTAAATTATTATAATTGCTAGTTATTATATACAGAAGTTAAATGGATTGAAAATGAAATTATGTGAACACTATTATAAGCTAAAATCTTAAAGCAATAAGATCTTCACAGATGTATCTGATGCACCACATATATGGTACTGTAGATCTGTAAGTGATCTAACATTTGTCTTCTCTTTATTTCTTGATTTTGCGCATTTTATTTTAGAGCTATATTATGTTTTAAAGTTTTATTTATGTTATATTTATGTTTTTTAACTTCCTAACTCATGTTTTGTGCAGAAAAAAAAGTTTAATAAAAAATACAATAAGAATATATTTGTAATTTGTCACAAATTATATTTTTTTTATGCTGCATATATCATTTTTTGAGTTTAATAAAATGTCATGAAAATGACATGGTAACCGCTTTTAGCTTACATAGACATTTGTTATTTATTATTGTTCAATATGGGCCTCGAGGCGCCCTCTTCAGACAATAGTTTATTAAAACAACCAATTTATTTATATTTTATTTCTATTTTCTTCCTCTTTCAGTCATTTAGACTCTTCCCATTACAAACGCCCACTCAATGTTAGCGTAACACTAAGAAAATGGGCAATGCAATGGTTCTAAATCAGTAAAATAAAACTTTATTAAATTAAGCAACAATGTTTTATGAACTATCTACAATATTTTCTTTCTTACGAGCAAGCATTACAAGTTTTCAAGAGATATTTTGTAATATCACAGATATACCAAAATAGGAAATATGAGAAATATAACAAATGAATTAAGTGCAAGATCAACAGAATGAATAACCACACTGTTTTGAATAGCTCCTAAAATCCCATTACCATCGCAATTTCATGAGTTGTCCCGCCCGTTTTGGGTGACTGGCAGCTTCACCAACCAATGATTTGAAATCCTTAAATTCAACCGACCAATCAGGTAAAGACATCCAGGAAACCGGCGTTTCATAAGAGGTTGCAAGATGTCATGTTTCATAAACAAAACAGAGAACAACTTTTAACTGTCGGGGAGCTTGCAGAAGAGTCTCGGCGGATGAGAGCAACTCTGTCTACATTTGCTTTGATGAAGACGTACGTCCTCAGTATATCTGCGCTGTCCGTAAGTAAACTGGATAGACTGGTAGCTGTCCAAGGTGGTCGGCAGGTTGACCGGTTAATTTAAGCTGTCATGATGCAAGTTGTTTAGGGGTTGATGGTTAGCCAATTACGTAGATCCGAGAGTAGTGTGATTATGGTAGATTGATGTAATTGTTTGTTTTATTCTTGTCTTTGCAGCTCACATCGTCGACGACACTATGAAGCGACTGTACTTTATCGAGCCCGTCGTCGCGATTTACGCGTTTGCCAGTTTTATGCTGTATCCTCTCATCCAGCAGTATGTGTATCGCAGACTGTGGCTGGAGATCACAAACTCGACCTATCCAGTGTCCGAAAACACTTCTCAATGCGCCGCCAACAGCAGCAACCACACCAGCCGACAAGAGGTACAGTATGCCACACGTTACATTCATATCTGACTCAAGCATTTTCATATTATTTACATATTCAGGCACTGAAATCATATATACACTACAATTTTGGTTTATACAGCAAAAAATAGCCTTTTTCTTACTTAAAGTTGTCTTGTTAAGAAAAAGTAAAGTAAGAAAAGCATTTTTTTTACAGTGTAGATGTGTTTTTTTTAGCAGTTGCTTTTTTTTAACAAACCTGCCTCTAGATATTTTAGTGAACAGCCAGTTCCCCTCAAGGTGTCTATAGGAGATATTTTATATCTTATAAAATTTAAAGTTCAGCTTATTATCAGAGTATATTTGAGTGTGTTGTTTTTTTAAGGTTATCTAAGAAAAGTGTTTGATTTGCTTCATGTTTTTGTGGAAGTGTCTGCTTCTCTTTTGTTTGTATATTAATTTAGTAGATTCCTCTGGATTAATTTATTTGTTTTATTTGTGTGTCAGTGTTTTACATTTAAAATATTGAATTTTGAAATTTATGCTTTTCTGAATTTTCATCATCAATTTACCATATTTTCCAAATTCTGAAAGACATGCACAATAGCCATACTAGATACATTTTTATATATTCAGCCTTTGTGTATGACTTTAGAAAAATGGCTGCATCATATTTATCTTTTATTACACAAGAGATTAGAAGCTCTTTCAGGACTTTATACCAAAATCTAGGGCTGCTCAATATTGGGAAAATCAGGTATTGTCATGTTTTCTTTTTCTGCGATAAATATTGTAATTAATATATATATATATATATATATATATATATATATATATATATATATATATATATATATATATATATATATATATATATATATATATATATATATATTTCACCAGATGACTTGAAAATTGCTATTTGGAAAGAATATATTTATTTAGAATAATTGACATGATTCTGTAAGGAAGTGAACCATTGTTAAAATGTTATAAACATTTACAAGCAAATACATCCATATAAGATAAGCTAAGATAAAATGTGTTGTTTTCGGGGCAGTCAAGCAGTAATCAGGTACATGATTTAAATAATAAAAGGGAAAATAACTTCAAAAGTCTTTACTGATATAAAAAAAAACAATAAAACTCATTAAACTTTTTTAAAGCTACAAATAGTAAAATTTATTGTGCCTAAATGCTTTAATTTTACTCAGCATTTAAAAATGTGATTATGAAAAACTTTTACTCTTTTTTGGATAAACTCTGCAGTAACTACACTTGTGTTTCTTATAGTCAACTATAATCATAACTCAAAATTGCATTTCCTGATATTGCAATATCGATGCTGAAACGATATATTGTGCAGCCCCACCAAAATCAGTTTTTATTGTTATTATTTTTATTATTTTTTGTTTGTTTACATGCCTGTAACTCAAAGTAAAAAAGATCTCTCATTTAACATTAAAGTTTGGTTCTTAATAAGCATTTGTTTTGACACACCTATTTTCATATTGTTAAATTTCATAGATTTTGGGATCCCGATGAGTAATTTTTTTAATATATAAAGAGAAACACCTGAAGAACCAATAATGTTGAATTCCAAACCTAATCTTGTTTACCTTTACCAAAACAAATGTACAGAACATACCTGTCTGAGTGCCAAAAATACCCTTCAAGTTGAAACCAGAAGTAGAGGTTATTTCCCTGTATCTAATTCCATAGAAAATAATAGGTGAATATGGTTAGCTAAATTGTTTGTAATGTATGTGTGTGAATGAGTGTGTATGGATGTTTCCCAGTGATGGGTTGCAGCTGGAACGGCATCTGCTGTGTGAAACATATGCTGGATAAGTGGTTCATTCTGCTGTGGCGACCCCAGATTAATAAAGGGACTAGGCCGAAAAGAAAATGAATGTACCTGAATGACCAAAAATAAAACTTAATTTACTTATAAAAAATAAGTTTACTCTCATTACTTGCTCTCAGTGGTCTGTTCATGATATTCTGTATTTTAATCATTTTCAGGTAGTTTGTAAGAAGGGATTTTGCTACTTAAGTTCTAACAGTTCAAATGCAATATTTTCTATTAACAGCTTTTTAATTCTGCACCAAAGTCTCTAGATTGAATCATATACAGTAGGGCCTTAAATGGAAAGTTTACCAAAAAAAAAGAAAATTCAGTCATTATTTACTCAATGCATGCTTTGACTTGTTACAAATCAATTTGTATTGTTTTTGTTGAACACGAAAGAAGATATTTTGAAAAATGTTGGAAACCTGTAACCATTAAACCCATAAAGAAAACAAATACCATGGAAGTCAGTGGTTACAATTTTCCAGCAATCTTAAAAATATCTTTTTGTTTGTGTTTTCAACAGATAAAAGTAAGTCATACTGATTTATAACAGCTCAAGGGTAAGGAAATGATGACATAATTAAATTTTTGTTCTGAAAAAATTTATATGTACAAGAAAACAAGAATTTAAAGGTATCTTAAATTTTTTTATGGGCTACCAGCATGCAAACATTCATTCGTTCATTCATTTTCTTTTAGGCTTAGTCCCTTTAATAATCAGGGTTCGCCACAGCGGAATGAACTGCCAACTTGTCCAGCATATGTTTTGCGCAGCGGATGCCCTTCCAGCTGCAACCCATCACTGGGACACACCAATACACTCTCATTCACACACATACGCTACAGACAATTTAGGTTACCCAATGCATGCAATTATCTTTTCAATAGTTTAAACTAATCATCTCAGTGCTGAATTCCGAAGTCAAATATTTTTGAAAAGCAACAGTTGTCCATTGCAACAGTTTACTAGATCACTCATTCAGGAAACCAATGTTTCGTCATAAAGAAACACAGAACAATTCTTTGTAAGTTAATACTTGCATAATAAGTAAACTAATAAATCAATATTTCAACTGTGTAATAAGTGAGACAACGTTGATCCAGTCAGTATTATTCACTGAATAAATCCTGGTGTCAGAAGTTAATTTATTTACCTTAAATTGAATGTGAGGGGCAGCTCAGTGGCACAGTGGGTGGCGCTGTCGCCTCACAGCAAGAAGGTCACTGGTTCGAGCCCCGGCTGTCCCCTTCACAAGTCCAAAGACTTCACTATAGGTGAAGTGAGTAAGCTAAATTGTCCGTAGTGTCTGTGTGTGAATGAGAATGTATGGGTGTTTCCCAGTGATGGGTTGCAGCTGGAAGGGCATTCGCTGCGTAAAACATATGCTGGATAAGTTGGAGGTTCATTCTGCTGTGGCGACCCCTTATTAATAAAGAGACTAAGCTGAAAAGAAAACAAATGAATGAAAATAAAAGTAAGCTACACCTGTTGTTGTTTCGGATCTCAGTCTGTTGCATTCCAATTTTGGTCACAGATACACGAACATCTGCGTTTCATTTCCTTTTTTTCTCTCTCTCTTTTTTCTTTTTCTTTTTAAAGCTGTTTTTATTTTTGGATCAGGAATTGCATCACCCCTTATAAGACACTTACACGCTTTCATAAGCACATCTGTTTTATTTATTTTCCTCCTCTTCTTTTTTTTCCAGGAGGTGCAGAAAGCAGCTTCGCTGTTCTCCATGTACACTGATTTATCCTCCATGATCCCCAGCCTCATCGTGACCCTCCTCCTGGTGTCCTACAGCGATCAGCGTGGCCGAAAGATCACCATTATCATGCCTCTCATTGGCACTCTGATCTACACGCTTTCATTCCTCACCGTCTCGTTCTTCCAGCTCAACCTTTACCTCCTTATTGTTGCCTCATTCGTAAGTGCCCTCTTTGGGGGCATCGGCACCATGTTAGGTGGCTGCTTCTCCTATGTGGCCGATTTGTGTGAAGATGGCAAACAAAAAACCCTTCGGATGGCTGTAGTCGACATGATGATTGGCATGCTGGCAGGTGTAGCTTCAATCTCCACTGGCTACTTCTTACACGCAGCCGGGTTCAACTGGCCGTTTTTTACCTCTGCCATATTTCAGGTTGTTAATTTATTATACGCCATCTTTATTCTGGAAGAAACTAGAGTCATTGATAGATCGGAGACCTTGGCTTGTTGTCAGGCCTTGCGGAATCTGGCATGCAGCATCTACAGCTTGTTTGCTGGAGGAAGTAGACGAAGAACATGGGTTCTTGTGCTGTTGATTATCACCTTTTCCTCCTTGTCTTTTGTCAATACTGGAGGTTTGTCCATAGTCACGCTTTATGAGCTCAATGAGCCGCTGTGTTGGACTGAGATTCTTGTCGGATATGGCTCTGCTGCCGGCACATCTATTTTTATTACAAGTTTTGTTGGCGTGTTTTTGTTTTCTCTCTGCCTGCCTAACATCGCCATCGCCTTCATTGGGATGCTTTCAGTCGCTGTTAGCATGTTGATGACCGGCTTCGCCAAGACCACGCTCACAATGTTCCTCGGTGAGCATGAATGCTTGCAGTTCAAAAATTAAGACATTTTTAACTGTAGGTTAAACACACACACACACACACACACACACACACACACACACACACACACACACACATATATAAATACATGCATACAGTGTGAAAAATAAGTATTGAACATGTCATGTTTTTTTTATGTCATAATATTTCTAAAGGGGCTGTTGACACAGAATTGAACCAGATTTTGGTAAAAACCCAAACAATACAAACATAAAAATAAAACAAAACAAAACAAAAAATTAAAAATGATTTGTGTAATAACAATGGAATGAACAGAAGAGGAAGTACTGAACTACTAAATGTATTTGATACTTTATATAAAAGGCTTTTTTGGTGATGGCAGGCTAAAGACGCCTCTCATATGGAGAATGAAGTCACATGCATTGCTTATGTGTGAGTTTTTCTTAGACTTCAGAGTGTAAAAAATCTTGATGGTTCTGGGGGTCTCGTCTATCAAATCTGATCTTTGATTTGTATTTTATATTGGATTCAAGTCAGATAATTGGCTGAGCCATTTTACATTTTACATTTTACTTTCTCTAAAAATATTTAAGAGTTTTCTTGGCTGTGTTTTGGATCATTGTCTTGCTGAAATGTCCACTCTGGTTTCATTTTCATCAACTTGTTAATGTAGACGTTGTACTGAAGCAGCTAATATTAATTTACAACGAGGAAGGGCAAAGGGTTGCTGAAGAACTACTAAGAGATTTCATTTGCTGTCTGGGCTTCACTGCCTTTTATACCTCCCTTTTTTATGTGTTCAACACTTTTTCCCTGCGTCATTAAATTTTATTATGCATAACTTAATTTGTAAACTAATTAGATTTGTTTTCTTTACATTCATAGATTTCTTTGATTGCTGTCAACATCCAGGGAAAAATTCAACAGCACCTTTAGAAATATGTTTACTAATAAAAAAAAATATATATATATATATTTTTTTTTCATTTTACCATTTTAATGTAAACTTGCAAAGTTAAGTTTATATATATTTAAAAATAAAAATGTTAAAATGTGTATAAAATGGGTAAGATTTCTGCACTTTGCAAAATAAACAAACATGGTATAGTTTTTTGATTATGAAACATTAGATTTTGGTTAAAATTGTTTTTAAAATCAATGTAAATATTTTTGTTAAAACAATTACTTTTTTCACTCAGCAAAAAAGTAACCAGGGTTGTTTCTGTATTTATATATATATATATATATATAATGAGCCCTGGCTGTCCCCACTTACAAGTCCAAAGACTTCACTATAGGTGAAGTGAGTAAGCTAAATTGTCCATAGTGTCTGTGTTTGAATGAGAATGGATGGGTGTTTCCCAGTGATGGGTTGCAGCTGAAAGGGCATCCGCTGCGTAAAAACTTGCTGGATAAGTTGGCGGTTCATTCCGCTGTGGTGACCCCGGATTAATAAAGGGACTAAGCTGACAAGAAAATGAATGAATGACTAAATCGACTGAGGCGACGCAGTAACGCAGTAGGTAGTGCTGTTGCCTCACAGCAAGAAGGTTGCTGGTTCGAGTCTTGGCTGGATCAGTTAGCGTTTCTGTGTGGAGTTTGCATGTTCTCCCTGCGTTCGCGTGAGTGTGAATGAGTGTCTGTGGATGCTTCCCAGAGATGGGTTGTGGCCGGAAGGGCATCCGCTGCGTAAAAACATGTGCTGGATAAGTTGGTGGTTCAATTTCTGCTATGGCGACCCCGGATAAATAAAGGGACTAAGCCGACAAGAAAATGAATGAATGAATAAATCGACTGAGGCGACGCAGTGGCGCAGTAGGTAGTGCTGTTGCCTCACAGCAAGAAGGTTGCTGGTTCGAGTCTCGGCTGGATCAGTTAGTGTTTCTGTGTGGAGTTTGCATGTTCTCCCTCCGTTCGCGTGAGTGTGAATGAGTGTCTGTGGATGCTTCCCAGAGATGGGTTGCGGCTGGAAGGGCATCCGCTGCGTAAAAACATGTGCTGGATAAGTTGGTGGTTCATTTTGCTATGGTGACCCCGGATTAATAAAGGGACAAAGCCGACAAGAAAATGAATGAATGAATAAATCGACTGAGATTGGTTTTATTAATAGCAGAAATATATATTGTGTTATGGACTTTAAACACATTAAATCAGTTTGTCAAAACTGTAGAACTCCAAATAAATGAATAGTTTATACCCTTCAAATGCATTAAATTAAAAAACGACACTTCATATTTTTGTTGATATATTATAGTGGCATATAGAATTATGACATTAATTAAATGAAAACTATGGCTCTCTCGGGTTACATCAAACATCTTTATCTTATCACACGTTTATATACTTTTTATACATGCACTAATATTAAGTTGAAGTTTGCTCAATAAACATCAGTGATAACTGAACAGAAGGGGTAACTGCTGAGGTGTTAATTAATTTTCCTAGCAAATTTTAGTGATTAGTAGTATACTGTAAAACCTACTGTTTTTTGTATTTTAGCTGCATAAATCAGTCCCATATTATTTAAAAAGCCAGATTTGTGTGCTCTGTATTTGTAGCCATTTAAAATAAGTGAGTTTTCCTGCAATTCTGAAAATGTTTGTCTAGTTAATGTGTGTGTTGATGTGTTTGCTTACAGTGAGAATTCCTGCTATGTTTGCCATCATGCCATTCCCTGTCCTGCGTTCGATGATGTCAAAGGTCGTCTCAAAGTCTGAACAGGGTGAATGACTCTCTGAAAGCCTCTCTTCCAAAGCAAAACCTCTTTATTCAGCAAAACATTGATCATAAGAGCTCTTATCTGCTCAAGATGTGTTTTGTGCGACTATGCACTTTTAAAGTGTTGGGTTTAAGGATCCTTATTTCAAAATCTGTCTTCCTTTGAAAAGACAATAATGTTTAGACATTGTATTTTCTCAGGAGCGCTGTTCGCCTGTGTGGCCTTCACAGAAACGCTGAGCACCAATGGGTCTGCTGCCAGTTTTAGCAGGATCTATGCAGCCACTGTGGCTTGGTGTCCAGGTTTTGTCTTCCTACTGGGTGCCGGACTCTGTCTCATTCCCATGAGTTTACTGGGGTAAGAGCAGCACTGAAATATAACCAACTGCTGATGTTCAGGAATTAGAAACAGTGTATTTAAAGGCACTGGGAAATCAAAATGGGCCCTTTTTGTGGAATATTACAAAGTTCATTAAGATGATCTATCTGTGCACATATTCAGAGGTACTTGACGAATGGGTGGTAATTTTTGATTTTTGTAAAACAATTTTTGAAGAAAAATTTTTGAAATTCATGTAGCTTGAAGACTGATGTTTTAAAAAATATAGGGGGTAACTTGCTTTCACTTTTTTAAATAATAATAATATTAATAAACTTTATTTTTACATAGAGCACATAAAAGTAGCATCTTAGGGCACTTAACAGACATGACATGCAGCAGTAAAATATACATTTTTCTTTGCATTCATCCTTGTATGTAATAAAATATAATTAAAAACACATAAAATATTAATAGTAATAAATCTAAAAATCCAATGAAATGAAATAAAAGCTACCCTAAAAAAAGGAAGTTTTAAGAGATGATTTAAAAATACTCAGGGATTCTGCATTGCTAATATCTACACAATTTAGGCACCAATGAAGAGAATGCCCTGTCTCCCATAGATTTTAGCTGCGTTTTTACTGAACTATAGTCTAAAATTGTCCTTTGGTGAGACATAGCAAACATTATCTTCATTTTGGACACGTTTCTTTATATAGTTTTGTTTGACCTGTTGGACGTTTTCAATAAAAAGGCCAAACCATACTTAACAATTTTATAGTGCTTCCCAAACAGTAAAATATGTGAAACAAGATAAAAACTTGTGCACATCATGGGCTTTACAGGGGGCTTCAGTCAGTCACATAATTTTGTATGGGGTCTTTCAGCTAAATCAGATTTTTTGGGGGATTGGCATGTAGTGTCACACCAGAGCACATGCTTTTCAGTGACAAAATGCATCAAATTCCTAGAATTGTTTTTAGCAATATAAGGATAGGAAAAAATGAAATTTACTAAAATAGCCACTTAAAAAATTTTTTGAACTACTGTACACTCGAGAAAGGTCTTAGTAGAGTTTTTAGATAAAAAAATTTAATAATGCAGCAGTTTAAATAACAAGACTATTACAAGACAAAAAATGTTTAACCATTTACTGCATTTTAAATGCATTTTAATACTAACTATATTAATTTTTGCCATGTCACATCAACTACTATGTCCTGTGTCCTAAATCATGTGTCCTTATAATTTTTAATCTAAATAATTTCCCCTTTATTCAACAGTATTTTTTTTTCTGATGACTTATCAGCATGACAGAAGGACAACCTGTTCCTCTCATGAGACTAACTAATAGTAACCCAAAATGATCCAATGATATTTTTAACGGGCAAATATCAATCTTTTTTTTTTTTTGGTAGCTTTCTTTTAATGGAATTATTAACCAGAACGAGTGCTGACTTTGGGTGTTTGAAAAAACACGTTAGAAATAAAATGAATTACTTATACATTTTTACACTTTTACGTAATTTTGTAATTTTACTTAAATATGTAAAAAATAAAAACACATTTTCAAATGTAGTAAAATCAAATCAAATAAAAGCATCTTATACAGTGTACAGTATGTAACACATTTCTAGGTTTGTTAAAGATTACTATAAAAATGAACAATTATTTACCCAGTTATTTATCAACTGATATCAAAATATTTTAAAAGTGGTATCCATTTACTTGGTTATAAGTTACATTTTAAAATTTTATGTAGAAATAACAATATGAAATACTGCTGAGTGCTGGTAGCTTTAAATAAAACCTTTACAAACATTGAATATTTAATCATTTCTTTATATCCATTTCCTAACATGTGCTTTATATTAAACTGTATTCAAAACAGAAAATGGAATAAAAAATAACATTAAAACAGTCGTAACAAGAAGTATCATTTGTTTTTAAAAATTATTAGCCTTTCAGATTTCTTTAAGGTAAAACTGAAACTAAAGTTATTTGTGAAATGCACTATAAGAATACTCTTATTTTTAGAAAATGTAACAAGCAGATATTATCACCATTGCCACTACAGTATAAGCTAAAATTACATTTACTGTAAAAGCTTGATTTTTAACACTGCATTGACCTTTTGGTTTGGAAAGCACCTTGTTGGTCCAGTAAATCTTTAAAACTGGTTTTAAATCGTCCTGAATGTTGCTCGTATGATAGTTCCTTGTTTAAAAATGCCAGCTATGGTTTCCATTTCCTCTTTCCCCTTTCTGCATATTCTTGTATTTTTGTACATACTGTAAGTATGATTTGAATGTTGACTGATTCCGACTCAATGTGTGCCTCTCCAGAATCCTTAAGTGTGTCCATCCATTGGATCCTAATGACACTCAAGCACTCTTATCTGAAGATGGGACTGAAGCATCAGATGACCCACCTGTAGCGTAAAATCAAAGGGAGTACAAGTACCTTCATCGTTTCTCTGTGTGTTCTTTCCTCATACCAGGATAAACTCAGAGCTGAAAACAACTGTGGGTACTCTGTTCAAGCCAATTTCAACTATTTGTAGTATTTTTCAGTCACTGAAATATGTTTTTGCTGAAGCTTGTGCTAATTGTGGTTGTAGAGTGAACCACAACAGAAGGGAATATATATATATATATAATAGGAATTATTATTATTATTATTATTATTATTATTATTATTAATATTATAATATAGAGTGATGTTATTAATTTCAGCAAAAACAAAATTTATATTTCCTAATGGAAATAGCAGTAGTCTGCAAGGCAGCAGGAAAATTGGGTAATATTTTTGAATCTTTTAGCATTATAAACATAACATTTATGAACAAAAAAATTTAAGTTCATTTTTTGTTTTATGAAGAATTGTATTTTGTCATGCCTTTTACATTAGGCAAATGTAGGGGTTCAAAGAAGAGATGGTACTAGGTCAGTCACAGTAATCAATATATGGAATTATCATGCAATACTTGGAAATGACCTCAGTTATATTTGTCATTCCAATATATATTTACAAATTTACAAGTTTGATGCATTTAAACGTTAAAGCCATTTTACAATTACATTCAAGCAAAAGCAAACATTTACATACTACCTTACTGGTGTCAAAGGTTAGAAATGGATATTTAACTAATAAGGCATTTAACAGTACATTCATTTTCTTTTCGGCTTAGTCCCATTATTAATCTGGGGTTGCCACAGCGGAATGAACCGCCAACTTATGCAGCATATGTTTTAAATCAGTGTAAACCCTTCCAGTTGTAACTCATCACTATGAAACACCCATGTATACACTACGGATGATTTAGCTCACCCAATTCACCACATGTTTTTGGACTTGTGGAGGAAACCGGAGCACCCGGAGGAAACCTATGCCAACACGGGGAGAACAAGCAAACTCCACACACAAATACCAACTGACCCAGCTGGGGCTCGAACCAGCGACCTTCTTGCTGTGAGGCGATTGTGCTAACCACTGCACCACCGTGCTGCCTTTAATAGTATATCTAATCTGACATTTACGTTTTTAACCTCGATTCTTAATAACATTAAGAATGATAAATATAGGGTGACACGGTGGCTCAGTGGTTAGCAAAGTTGCCTCTCAGCAAGAAGGTTGCTGGGCCAGTTGACATTTCTTTGTGAAGTTTGCATGTTCTCCCTGTGTTTGTGTGGGTTTCCTTCGTGTGCTCCGGTTTCTCTCACAAGTCAAAAAACATGTGGTATAGATTAATTAAAAATTAGATAAATTAAAAAATTTAAAGTGGCCATAGTGTATGTGTGTGAATGAGTTTCCCAGTACTGGGTTGCAGCTGGAAGGGCATCCGCTGTGTAAAACCTATGCTGGTTAAGTTGGCAGTTCATTCTGCTGTGGCGACCCCTGATGAATAAAGGGACTAAGCCAAAGGAAAATGAATGAATGATAAATATTTCAAAGTTTTTATGTCTTTAGCATTATTATGCTGTTCTATTATCATTATATCATTAGTGGCATAAAATGATCTCAGAATGACAATAATATCGCTTATTGCAACAATTTCTGTAACAATGTATCACACAACAATATTTCCTTATCGTGACATGCCTAGATGGTACATTTATTAAGTTAATAAAAGCATTTTTTTATCAATGGAAAATATAACAAGATATTAGCATCGGAAATATATATATTTGTCATCGGAAAAATGCCATCACAACATAAACCTTTATGTTACTTTAACTCATTTTGATAAGTTAATTATGCTTTAACAATTAGGTTACACAAAGTTTCATTAATATTTTTAAGACTGTTTGACTGATGTAAGTTGAAATGACTAGAAAAGATCAATTGATTCAACTATAAAAGTGAAGGCTGTAAGACTTTTTGTTTTACTTTCATTGTAATATTCTAAGTAAAAGTAATGGGTAAATTAAATTAATTTATTTTAGGTGAATTTATTTATTTATTTTTATTTTTTTCCTTTGCTAAGAGCAACCCAAACAGCTTAACTATGAAACAGAAGTGCCTTGCTCCTCTCAGCATTATTCCCCATTGGATTTTTTTCATTTAGTGTCAAGTTTAGCTTTTAGGCTTTGGTTTTGCATTGTTGTCTCCAAACATGAGTTTATGCTTAATTAATGGCATTTCTAAAAGTTCAAATGTATTTAATGTAGATGACCAATACCAATTCAATATACAAATAGGTTTAAGAAAGAAGGCCAATATAATTTATTTTGCAACAGTAGAATCATCAGTAATAGAAACTTTCATCCACACCATTGAACCAAAGAAATGTTGCACTAAATATTGAAAAATAAGGGCTGAATGGATATGTTATGTTCAACTAAATTAATTAGTTGTGTCTCCTGAATTATTTGGAATAACTGATTGAGGAATATCAGTACATTGCTGCCATAGAAGTACAGTACGTATCTAATTTGGGATGATGTGCAATATCTTATTGTTTTCATAAGTGGTTAGATTTTTAAATGTGTATATTAGATTGATTTTATAAGGCTTAACATTTGTGTGATCTTTACAGTGTTTCATAGTTTAAAAGTGTGACAGATTTTCAACTCTCATGTTTGAACAGTCATGAGCAGTTTGTCAATAAGCTCAGACTTAATCTTTATTAACACATGCAAAACAGCAGTACATGCTGTACTATTGGAAATCAAAACAGCTCAGCTTATAATTTTCAAACCAAGCTAAGGTTGCAGTTTTGATGTTTGATTTCAAAAGGTATATTTATTAATGAATATACTGTATATTGTGAAATAACAAATGTATCTTTGTATCATTTGAAACAGAAATTGAGCTTTATAGTTCAGGTCATAGGAATTAAGTTTTGACTAGTTTTAGTTCAACTGTTTATGTAGCATCTGCTAAAATAAATATTGAAAAAGTTGACTTGTAATGGCTTTTGTGAGTCCAGTCTCTCTCTACAGAAGCTTCCTTAAATGTTGTCATAAATTGCAAAGTAAATTCTATAGCAGAGGTATGTGGGAACACTGCATACATTTCATTGCCACGGTAAGTAAACCTTCTTTTTTGGTGGTAGACAACCCCCCACCCCCTTTCTGTGTGTTTTATAGTTGTGGCCAGAAGGTGGCGCTATAGATACATAAATACATATGGATGTCTTTAGTACAATATGAGTTTGTATCATTTGTCATTTCATTTGTATCATTTGTTTCACAATTTTTAAGCTTTTTTTGTCTCAGTGAGTGTGAGGATAGTGAACTATAAGATGAACCAGTACAATTGTCTGGAGAAAAATAAGTTTTGAAAATACACACCCATATAACTACAGGGCTCAGCATAATTGAGTACACCCCAGTTTGAAAATGAATATTTTTATCCGTTTCTCTGTGAATATAGGCAATGTGTTTTGGTGCATTTAAACAAAACAGATTTATTAAACAGATACATCTATTAAAATATTATTTTAGTCACTAAATATATTTAAAAATTGAAAGATAATACAGTTAAATTAAAGCAAAATGTTGGAAAAAATAAATTTTTCTTTCTTTTTTTTTTGCTTTTTCTCATCTTTTAAATTTGTATTTAGTATTTTTCTATAACATAAATTTAGGTGCACTAGTTATTGTACGTTGTTTTGTTAGAGAAGCTCCAGATTTGGCTTTAGTACAGACTAATCTAATGTATATATGCTGTGGCGAGACGAGGGATAAAACATGAGCATTCAAACAGATATGGTGTAACGACCCAGAGGGTGATTTATTTACAGTGCAAGGTAAGGAGGTGAGGGTAGGGTAGCTGTGCAGGTATGAGTCCTTTGGCCGGGTAATGTGGAAAGTCCTCAGGGCTGATGAAGGTTAGGATAGTTGAAAACAATCTGAGGTGCCAGTCTGGCCACTGCTATCTGCTGGGGAAAACAGAGAAAGGAGCATTAGCGTGTCTTCTAGGAGAGATAAAGCTCACCCTGTGTCTTCTCTTTCTCTGTTTATATGCTCCAGTCTTAATGAGCTGCAGGTGGCGATCGGTGCTGATGAGGTGACAGGTGTTGGTGGTTTGTACTTGTGGCGATGCTGCATTGGAACACTCGCCACAATGCACAAATATAATTTTGTATAGCTTACTAATTAAAAATATGAATTTAAAAGATAGCTTTGTGAGGGGTGTACTTATACTGTAGCTCTCAAAATTAAAGTTACAAGAGCTGTCACTGGGGTGGTACCTTCTTAAAAGGTACATAGTTGTACTTAAAGGGTTCATATTGGTACCTCAAAGGTATTATTTAGATATTAATCCCTAATAATTTCAAGAGGTACTCTTTTGTACTTTTTAGGTACTAATAGGTACCCTTGAGGCATTAACGAAGACCATTTAGTTACAAATGTATTCCTTTTTCAAAGATACCAACCCAGTGACAGAGTTCAGATGCAAAAACCTCTTACATTTATGTTCAGTTATTTCATGTTAAAAGAGATAAAAATAACTTATTTGCCATAAAACTGAAATAACTGAATTAAGATATAGGATCCTGAGAAAAATGCTAATTTTAGAAGAAAATTTCAGATGGCACTTAGAGACCTTTGCATCTGAACTCTTTAAAAAGTCCAGTGAAAAATAGTGTGATCCTGTAGAAATCCATTGACGTTTATCCTGTCACACTTCACTCTTTCCACAACTACCCCCATCCTCCCTGACTTTTGACATGATGACAGGTCACAGATCTGCAGCTCTTGGTAATTGTGCAGTCCTAGTGTCTGCCGAGTGAAAGTATGATAAATCTGAAGTGGAGGGGCGGGTGGTGGGCTTCTCCAGTTTCCAAACTGAGGCTCCACACCGCTGACTCCACATGATCCACCTCACCACAGTCTGCCGGCTCCCACACACCCTCTGTTTATCTCCCTCTCTCATTTCTCCAGCTTTAAATCTAAATCTTTTTGCTTTCTCCCCTTTCTTAAGCTCCCCACCCCCCATATGCAAACACATTCTATTTAATTTATATTCAGATGCATAGGCACAAATACACAAATCCCTTATACACAAGCTTGCGGTTTGCGGCCAGATAACACCCGCACCCACACACCACCCAGGGATAAAAAGCATCCACACTTCTAACAAACAGTTGGACCCTTCTTTCAACAGACACATCTGGGGTTTGTTGGACACACATGTTTGTGTGAGCCTACAATGGGGGTTACAGCTACATGCTTAAGAGCTTGTGTCACATAAGGTAATGTGAACATTGTTTGCGAGCATTGTTCGAATGACTTGTTGCTGTACTATATAGTGAAATTTGGAAATGTGGACCTATTTTGAGTATAGTAATGTAACTACTTTAAAGTTACAGACAATGCCAAAATAATAGATGCAACATTGGAAATAATCTGTTGTGGTATTTCAATACCAGTCACGGCTATTCATAACTTTTTTGATTTAGTGGCTAATTTCATATGAATTTGTACAATCTAATTCATACAATTTAGTATGATTTGCTCATCACCCAATGATGGTTGGGTTTAGGGTTGGGGTTTGTACGAATTAGCCACTTAACTGACAAAACATATAATACTTACATTTTCTCGTGAGATCAGGCTGTGTATTTCTATAGTGGCATTGACAGTGTTGGGGAAAGTTACTTTCGGAAGTAATGCGTTACAATATTGGGTTACTCCTCAAAAAAAGTAACTAGTTGCTTTGCTTAGTTACTTTTTATGGTAAGCAAAGCATTAAAGTACTTTTGTGATACTTTTCTTTTTTCTTCACATCTTTCTTCACATTTTTTCTCTGCGCCTGCTGAGTGGGGCACCTCAGCCAATGAGGGCAAAGGGGCAGTGGCTCTAGCCACCGGGCCACCCCCCTGTGCACGCCCTGATGCTTTGTATAAACACATTTCGATCCAGCAAAGAACTAGAGTACCCAAATATAACAATTTCTGGGTTGGGTGTCGAGGTAAAACCATACATATCAGAAAACCATGTAAATATGTCACACCAGAAATCAGAAAGTTTTGGACACGTTCAAAAGAGGTGGGTCAGGGAGCCTTCAGCAGACTTACACCGGTCACATGTAGGGGAAATGGTGGGAAAAATTCTGTGTAATTTAGATTCTAAGTAGTGCAGTCTATGCATTACTTTAAATTGAATAAACTAATGCCTGGAACTGATAGAACAAGATCGAATTCTACTAAGGCTTTCATCCCATGTATCAGAG